CCCCTAACCCGGCTTTAGGCCATTCCCTCAGGGCCTGTCAATGATCACCACAGAGAAAAGATCAGTGCCTGCCGCTCCTCTTCCCCTCATGAGGAAGGTGTAACTGCAATGAGGTCTCCCCTCAGTCTCCTCTCCCCAGGGCTGAACAGACCAAGTGACCTCAGCAGCTCCAGACGTGGCCATGTCCTGCACAGAGCTCCCTGTGACCTCAGAGGGACAGCCAGCAAGCAGAGAGCAGCTCTGGACTCCACACCCAGGCCTGAGGACTGCTCAGATATTTTTCATTAAACAGTGACTGGATCTAATAAACAAAGACAAATCTGACTGAAGTCTCCCAACCTCTTCCTTGATGTGTTCTTGCCTGCCTGGCTTGGGAAGAGGTGAAGAGAAGTTGAGTGCCTTGTTGCTACAGTGCAAAATTGGGCAGCTCCTGGTCCAGGCACTGCTCAGCAGCAGAGAGTTATGATGATGATGATGATGATTCTCTTCCAGCTGTGCTTGTCCCTTCCCTTGTTATTTACTGGGCCAAGTTCTCTGTTGAGGAGCTTGAGCCAGAGATGGCCAAAGACCAAATACGTCACCTGAGTCCCATCATCCCTGGGAGCGTGGTGATGCCAGACAGAAGGCATCTGAGGTCAGCCCTGCACGTGTTACACGAGCAGAGAAGTATCAGGACTCACTTTTTATTATTTTTTTTTAAATTTTGCTGGCACACATCTTGCGTGTCAGGTCGTTCCTTCACACATGCACATGTGTGCACTTCATTACAGCTTCTTGTCTCCCTCCCTTCCTCCGCCTTGCCCCGCTTCCCTGCAGTATCCTCCTTCCACCCTGGGGCTTGGAAGCTGTGCTCAGCCTCTGCTGAGCAGGAAAACTGCTTCCAGCTGTGTGCTGTGACACGCTCCCAGCCACTGTGCAGCTGTTCCCGGGCTCCTGCTCCCCAAACCAAGGCGATGGGTGGGGAAAGGCTGATCCGTGCTGCTGCCTGCCTTCTGAAGCCTGACTCTGGGTTTGGAGCCCATTCTGTGCCTGAGAGCACTGTCCAAATGTTCCTTGAGTTCTGTCAGGTTTGGGGCTGTGACCATTTCCCTGGGGATCATGTTCAGTGCCCAGCCACCCTCTGAGTGAGGAACCTTCTCCTAATATCCAACCTAAACCTCCCCAGACACAACGTCAGGCCATTCCCTCGGGTCCTGTCACTGGTCACCAGTGAGGAGATCAGTGCCTGCCCCTCCTCTTCCTCTCCTGAAGAAGATGTAAACCACTGTCCTCGTGGGTAGGAAGGTGCCTCCCACCCAGCTGACGTCCCTCAACCTCTCCTGGCCATGCCACTTTTTGTGGTCACTTTTTGCTTGGTGCTTCCAAGGCCATGTGTCTGCCTGGCCCAAGCTCCTCTGTGAACCCTTGTCCTTCTGGCTGATTCAGCAGTTTTTTCAATTACAGTCACAGCCACATGGGCTTGGCTGTGCTCCTGCCATGCCTCAGTCCTGCTGGAAGAAGGGGAGGCAGGCAGACGTTTGTGCATTCTCTGGTGATGCACAATCCCCATCCTGTGGTCACCGGGTAGCTGTAAAATTAAATCAGATCCTTGCTGTTAACCAAAAGGCATCTGCAATGAAAGGAAGTTAAATGCAGAGCTGGAGGGGTTGTTCTGCTGCTAACAACACATTACAGGACCTGCTAGGAAATCAAATTCACTGTTCTATCCTCACCCACATGATTAAGTTCACTCCCAGCTTAATGTGATTTAGGATTAGGTGGGATATTTTATATTGATTGTAGGTTCAAGGACCCCTTTTTTTTCCCCTGGACTTTGGTAACATTGACATTATTAATGGCATATAAAATGGCCACAAGTTGCACCACAGGGGAGGTTTAGAGAAGACATTTGGAACAATTTCTTCATAGCAAGGGTGGTCAGACACTGCAACAGCCTGCTCAGGGCAGTGGTGGAGTCACCATCCCTGGAAGTGTTCAGAAATTGTGTGGATGTAGCACTGTAGGACATGGTTTAGTGGTGAACATGATTGTGGTGCAGGTTGGACTTGATGATCTTAGAGGTTTTTTCCAACCTTAATGATTCTATGACTCTATAAAATCCACAGGATGTGCTATAGCAAATATTAAATACATAAAATATTTTTTTCCCTGCTGTATAATCCTTCCATGAGGTAGAAAGTGGCCAGATACTCCCATCTTCCTCTCTAGAGACCATGCAGGAAACCAGAGACAAAAAAATTCTGCCTTCACCAGAATTTGGGTGTTTTCCAGGCAACACAGTGATGCTGGGAGAGGGCTGATCTCTGGGACTGGCAAAAGTGGGACCAAAGGTCCAGACCTTCCAATCCATGACAGGCTGAAAGTTTGGCATCTCTCCCAGAAAGGGGGGGATGCACTTTGTCATAGTAAAATGACACAGTTGTGTGACTTAAATCTGCGGCAACAGGGACAGAAACTGCTCAGGGCCCTCTAAAGAAATGCCCAACCATTTATTATGTGGGGTGAAAGCACCTCATGGGTGTTCCCACCAAACTGCTGTTCCTGGTTTTGTCTTGTTTTCCTCTAAACTTGAAGCAAGATGATCAGCACTGTCTCTTTGCCACTAAAGCACCAGGAAAATGGGGAACAAAAACCCTGGAGGTCACTGTTGGAGCCAGGATGAGCTAAGGATGTAGAAGCAGCAGTCTGAAGGGAGAATATCTTTGAATAAACCAGCTGGAACAGGGAGGTGACTTTCAGAGTTCAGGGTCTTATAAATATCTGGGTTCTCCACCTTTCTTATGAAAGACCCTACCTCTTCCCAGACCCTTGGAAGCACTTGGCATGAGCATAGATCAAGGAGGGAGAAGCCTGTTCTGTGCTAGAGATTCATTTGGTTGAGTCAGAATTAAGAAAAAAAGCGGGGGAACACAATCTAAGGAATAATTTAACTTTTATTTATAGTTATTTTATGGTCTGCCATGGAGCCTAATTAATGTGGTCAGTAAACTCACTCTTTTTTTAAGACCCAGCTACAGTGATGGCCCTGCCCAAGCCCTAAGATAATTCCTGAATAATTATAGATAAGAGAGAGACAGCTTTGAAATCAATGTTTTACACAAGAGCCAGATATTACAAAGATCAATGCAATAATTAGATTTTTTTAAAAATAAATATATCATACCGTTGAATTACTCCAGGGGTGCCTTTGTGTCTGAGGTTCAACCAGTGGATTCTTTTAATCAGAATTAGTTCTGGAATAGATTTTGCTGGCTATGGAGCTAAAAATGTAATCCTGGCTGGCTCATTCAGCTTTATTAAGCATTCATGACTATTTTTCAAAAGAGGATCTCTTTCTTCTCCTCACAGAAATGCTCATCAAATGGAGAGGAGAGGAGAGGAGAGGAGAGGAGAGGAGAGGAGAGGAGAGGAGAGGAGAGGAGAGGAGAGGAGAGGAGAGGAGAGGAGAGGAGAGGAGAGGAGAGGAGAGGAGAGGAGAGGAGAGGAGAGGAGAGGAGAGGAGAGGAGAGGAGAGGAGAGGAGAGGAGAGGAGAGGAGAGGAGAGGAGAGGAGAGGAGAGGAGAGGAGAGGAGAGGAGAGGAGAGGAGAGGAGAGGAGAGGAGAGGAGAAATCTCAGCTCTATTGAAGCTGAAGCCAAATCTCCCCTTGAATTCACTGGGGCCACAGTCTCACCTAAGCTGCATAACACACTTAAAATTGCTACTGGCCTGATAATTATACAAAATAGACCCCACATTTCTGTCCTAGGAGGGGAGAGGGAGAGGGAGAAGAGGGGAACCTAAGACACATCTGTCTGATCCTGTGAGGCATTTACCAGTAGCATGTACTTGGCAAAAGATGTGATGTATGAAGTGAATAAATAACAAAACAGTCTGTGTTTCCTTGTGTTGCAATTCCTAAATGCTTCCAATGCACATAAATGATCCTAAAAGATGAACTTGCACTTCCTTTGAGGAATCCTTGAGGAATCCAAACACATCAGCACCAGGGCTGTGACTTGGAAACCTGAAAGTCATTGAATGAGGCAGACCCTGTCTAATCTGATCTGTGAAAAACTTTTGACTTGAAAGCAAGACTTTTCTAACCCTGACACTGAGGCTTCTCACAATGAATCACAGTAAACCCAGACAACACCCCCCAACAACTGGCAAACAATCAAACCCACTATGAGTAATCACACCAGCAGCAATGATGCTGTAAAACTCTGCCATACCCACTGCTTTACCTTTTCACCTACCGTGTGCATCACAGTCATCCCTGAGGCAGCAGGAATTGGTTAAAGCCACCTCATTTAAATACATAAAAAGCTAATGAGGCTTGCCGAAGGGGAGATGACTCACCTAAAGTCATACAACCAAAGTTGCATGTAACCAAAAAAGTTAAGCTCCTCTTTTTTTTATCCACAGCTACTCCCCTTTGCTTCAAGATTATTAAAGTCTCAAAAGTGCTTACTGTGGAACTTTCAGAGGGTGAGACAATTGCATGTGTTTAGGGGAGATACAGGGCTGCATTGGCTTAGATATGTGTCAAATGTGTCTTTTGAAGTCTTTTTCAGGGTCTGATCTCACTCCTAATGTCAGTGCAAGTCTTCAAGATCAGCAGAACCAGGTATTTTTTGTTGGTAAGGAAAGGTAGAAACTGGAGCCCTGGAAAGGCAGAGCACACAGGTCTGGAATCAGTTACAAGGACACTCTGCCTTGAGATGAGTATCTGGCTATTTTTCAATGTGCTTTTCACTCAGCTAGGAAAATGGGGGAAATGCTATTTGATACTCCTCTTTTAAATCCTGCTTGGGAGACAGGTGTTGCTTTGAACCCACATTATGGAAGATAACTGCAAGCTGGATTCCAGAGATGAATGTGAGGCAGATTAAGTCCAGACCACAATAATCTCTCTTCTCCAGCAACATCACTGACCGGGGATACTGAAGGCAAGCCAAAGTTCACACACTGGTTTATGATACTGTTAGCAAGTCTGCAGCCAAAACGAAAGTTCAAACATGGGTTTTTATGCATTTTATTTAGAAATCTATGCTCCGGCCATGATGACAAAAAACAATGAATTTCCAGAGTTTTCATCAGGGGCACAGATCCAGCTGAGTCTGTCAGGGACTTAATTGTGGGTAGTTACCTCATGTCAGCTACTGGCCCTGGAGCACCCAGCCCATGTTTCACACTCACTTTAGGCAGACAATGAAGTGGGACATCCTCTGACAGAAGCAATCACAAGAATCATTAAGGTCAGAAAAGACTTCTAAGATCATCAAGTACAAACATTAACCCAGCATTGCCAAGCCCAAAGCTAAACCAGGTCTCTAAGCACCACATCGACATGGTTTTTGAACACTTCCAGGGGTGGTCACTGCTCTGCTTCCCTGTGCAGACCATTCCAATGCCTGATCACCCTTTCAATGAAGAAATATTTTCCAATATCCAAGTTAGCCCTTCTTGGTGTAATTTGAGGCTATTTCTTCTTGCCCTATCACTGGTTACCAGGGAGAAGAGCCTGACCACCACCTGGCTGCCTCCTCCTGCCAGGGGGTTGCGAAGAGCCAGAAAGTCCTTCCTGAGCCTCCTTTTCTCCAGGCTGAGCCCCCCACAGCTCCCTCAGCTGCTCCCTTGTGCTCCAGAGCCTTCCCCAGCTCCACTGCCCCTCTTTGGACCCTATTCTGCCCCACTTTCACCATCACTTGCACTTCCTGCCTGGAAATGTGGCCCAACTCACGTCTGCTCTGGACAGGGGATTGGACAATCAAGCTGGATGAACATATTTGAACCCAAATGTGCTGCCCCAATGCTTGTCTCAGCAAACAAGGGTGCAAAAGGCAAACAAGCAGCAACAGGCAAAGACAAGATGCTCCTGTTGGCACTGGAAGTGTCTTTTTAAGGCAGCCAGAGAGCTCTGGTGTGTCTTGGCCACCGCTGGCTGCCGTGACTAATTACAGTGTTACACAGTGCTTTTTTCTCTGGAGATTTGCCAGGTTTGGAAGAGCTGGCTTCAGCTCTGTTGGATTTCTCACAGGGAAGCTCCTTTGCCTCTGAGGAGTCTCCCCCTTACCCTGAGCTCAGGATCTCTGTTATCTGTTGGGTATGGATGAGACACCCAGCTGTTATAATTTAGTCCCCTTGGCTTTCCCAGGTACTGGAATCCAAATCAATTGAAGTAAATGACAGCCTTATCAACTCCACAGACTTTGAAGCAGGCTCCAGCTATGGGATTGATCCAATACATAAATGCCAAGTTTGATTCCAGGAAGGGAGGAAAATCAGCAGCTGAAATTATTTAAAGGCTTGCAGATATATTTTGGCATGCTGAATGGAAATGGAGGAATTTCTCGGGGAGAATGTTAAATAATTCTCAAAATAATTGTTAACACACACAGCACAGCCCCCATCCCACCTCTGTCACACAGGTTAGAGCTTCCCCACTGTAGTGAAATGTTCACAAATTTGCATTGTTTATGATTATACTTATTATTGTTCCTGGAAAGAAAGATCAAATCAGTGGCTGGCTTCAGAATTTTAAAATAAAAATTTATTGCAAAGGTGTGCTGGTCACTCTTGTGTCCAACAAACATCTGCATGCAGCTACACAGCCATTTAGACAGAGATTCAGGGAGTGCTGTTCAGGACATAAATTGGGCCTAAGCCCAAGAAATAGATCTGGCAAGCCCCAGCTCCATCATCACCTGCAGCTGGAAGCACTGGCATCTACCAGCATCCAAATTTGCTTGGACAGATTTCCTGAGCACTCCAGTTTAAGATCCCACACCCGAATGATCTCAGGATGTTTTATCCAGGCTCTGCTGCTCCATTCACACCATTCTAGAACCAACAAATGCACAGAGCACCCTGTGTGAAGTTTTTGGGGCGATTTCAGCAGATCTGTCACTGGCTGCCCTAGAGCAGGCAGCTGAGGGCAGGTAAAAAGCTAAAGCAGGGCACAGCCAAGCTCTAACTAAGGAAAGAGACTTTATTAGTTTTCTTTCATTAGGACAAAAACTCTGGTTAAAGACAGGGAAAACTGTGAACTTGCTTAAGTGTTGTGTGAACAAACTGTACTACAGAAACACTGAGCAAACCACCTGCAGATACTTCTCAAATAGAACCACCTCGTGCCTGCTGCAATTAATGACTGGTTAATTGCATACATTTCAAGAAAGAAAAGTCTTTTGTGACTGATCAGTCCTTCTGAATTTTTCATTTAAACAATTTAAGTCAGAGTTTGAATACCTGTCTAGCTCCAAAGCTGTCAAAAATACAGGGCACATCAAAGAGGCTCTGCTGCAGCCCTAAAAAGAAAAGAAACAATTGTAGTTGTGGTATTGGTAAACCTACAAGGGTTTCTCTGTTAATATCTCCAGCTACCACACAACCACAAGAACTGACATGATTTTTCCTTTTGGGTATAACCATCCGAGCTAAAATACCCCATATGCTGCAAGATTGATGCTTAATACTTCATTCCAGATGTGTTCTGGCTTAGTTAAATATTTAACACATTTTTAGAAGAATGTAGTCTATAATTGCATTAATACTTCAGAAGAATGATGTCCTGGTGAGTAAAGGGAAAGCTATTCCAAGGCTGGCTGTGTCCCTACTCCTGTCAGTGACAGCAGGACTCACCCAGGTTACATTTAAAAAAATCTGATAATCATTAACCTCTATGGATGGCATTGACAGAGCTACACAGGCACAGCCCTGACAGTGTTCCCCAGCAACATTTCGAAGGCCTAAGCAAAATGACACTGCAATCTGGTAAAATTCCAGACAGCAAAATCCCCATCTAAATTTCAAATCTATCCAAGGAAAATTGCACCATGCATGTTACTGGATGCATTTAATTGCTGAATTTTATGCTGTTAACAACAGTTTTGCCTTTTTCCCTGTGCCTTTCCACAAACTATAGCTCAAAAAACCCAAAGTGTAGGCACATTCCCACCTTTCCATAATTCTGTCCTTACCCTTCAAGACAAAGCAATGAGACACTTAAATCCTGTTGGGATGTGGTGAAAGGAGGAGAAAACACAGACCTTCTTTCCTACCCCACACCATGGGCCACAAAGCAGTAGATGATTTATAAAAATTAATACTTAGAAAATTTAACAGTACATTTTCTACTGAAATCTATGGTTCCGTTAGGTATTAGGCCATGCTGGGTGTCTTTATAAAATTTATCCCTGCATGGGTCCAGGATGGGGAGATTATGCCAGTATGACCATTAGAGCACCTAGATAAAGCTGGGAGTGTTTATTCACAGGCACAGAGAAGAGTTGGGAACATGGTATTTATTATCTGGACATCAACTATCCTGAACAGGTAATTCCTATTACAAATCATTCATGGAAAATAAAGGCAGCAGCAGGGGGAAGGGAAGACCAGAAAAACAAAGGAGGGCAGGGGTAGGTGAAGATTCAATTTTAGTCAAAAGACAGACATTATTACTTCATTGTTTTTTAACATTCCAGATTTATTCAAAAGACATTATTCTGCATGTATCTTACAGGTCTTAAGACTGGTAAAACACTAGGAATAACGTGATAACCCTAGCAAATGAAGACATGGCTAAAATCATACCAGAGTGATTTTTCTTTTCTTTCAATAAAATTTTGGACATTTCAATCCCATTTTTAACACTGGCCAGAGCTATTCATACCTAGAGCATTTGGAATAGTCCATTGAAGGAACAAAACTTGACAAGATGGAAACAGCAGACTACACTTGATTTCTGCAACTGCTGGCAAAAGCTGCTGGAGAAGTATCTGCACACTTTAGAAATGTTGCATCAGTGACAGATGGAATTTTGCGCTTTAATACTTTGCTTGAAAAGTCTCTTTATCCAACATGAAGTCAGCAAATCTCTGCTGGAGTTCCTTTTCTCTCTCCTGCTGTCGCTGCACATCTTCCTTCAGACACTGTAAGGAAAACATCATCAAACAACCAGTCAGTCAGTCAGTTTTCCACCAGTCACACCCATGAAGATCTTTACCAAAGGCTGTATTTTAGTTCCTCCAGAGGAAGAGCTCAGAATTAAGACACAACATTGCTGAAATTACTTACTTTAAATATAAATGTAAAACAGAGCAGTGGATGTAAAGTATCAAGAATCACAGTTATCTTATTTCAAATGTCAGGTAGCTCACCCTGTTTTTGACAGCAGCTAAGATCAAATGCTTCAAAAGGAGCGACTTCAAATTGGAACCTTGCCATTTACTAAAAACAGGTGCTATTAGCAGCTATCAAGTGATTTAGTATGTTTTAACTGTTATCTTTCAGTAAATCAATTAATCACTTCTGAGTCTGTAGACACATCTATCAGCATTATCTAAATCATCTTCACAAAATCAGTTTTAAGAACTGATGCATTTTATCTTTTTTTAGCAAGTAGTTGAGAATATCTAAGCCTCAATGGAAGCCTCTGTTCTGGAGGAAAACCACATTACAATAAAAATTGTGCTCAGGTGAACACTTATTCCTTGGAAAGAAAGGCTGGTGCTGGTTCAAACCTAGGACTGAGTCTTGATTAAAGGTTGTCTCATTAGCTGAATAAAAGGAGAATATCCTGGAGATCCTTAAACTAAGAAAAGTGGCTCCAAGGTAGTGATTTCAGGTATATACCAGCATTTAGTCTGCTGGCTTTTAAGGAAGAAGAAGATTCTAGACAAGTTTTACATTTACCTAAAGCTCTAAGAGTAATTAAAACTGAAACAAACCAAATCAAGAGAGAGATGAAACTTGTGCTGATACACATTGCAAAAGACTTATAAAATAAACCACACAAGGAAATAAAAAAAACCCTAAAGTTAAAGAACACACTACCAGATTAGTCCCAGCCTCTAATATGTGTATCACAGAATCTTTGATACTGAAGTAAAAGACAGATGAATCTGGTAACAGCCAAAAGTATGATTTTAAGAGAGCATTAAAAACTTGATACCAACTCAGGCTGTTAAGGTCATTGTTGGGGAAGATGAAACAGGAAAGCCTTATAAATATGATTGCCTGGCAAGAGATTTTGAGAATATGGAAACTATAAGCAAGATTGAAATGAAAGCAAGCTTTGAGATACCTTAGTTACTGAACAACTGGAAAACAATGGTGTGGCTGGCTGAAGGTAATCCCCTTTTGCTGAAACAATACCCTCTGCTTGCAGACAGGTCCAAGAGTCAGAGCAGACAGACCCTACTAGCTTGGCAGAAGGGGTCCAATGAGTAGTTTTTAGGGTTTAAAATGTAACAGTGTGGTAATGTAATGATTCTTATAGGCTGTATGTAAATACAAATAGGATTTGTATCTTGTACTAGATTGCTTAGTGAGAATTAGAATGTTCAACACAGAAGAAGACTTATTGTATTGTAATGGAAACCTCACTCTCTTATCCTCTCATCCTCTCATCCTCTCTCTCTCTCCCATCCTCTTTACCACTATCTTTACTTCTCTCAGGCCTGCTCTGAGCTGTGCCTGGCAGCTCCAAGCAGGGCCCTGCACCCAGGCCCTCTGCAATAACCCCAAGTCCCACCACCTGGCTTCAGGGATCTCTCGTCTCCGTCCGTCCCGACTCTCCTACCCCCCAACACTCCTACAGGTCAAAGCTCATGCCTTGTAAAAACATCTTTACCACAAGGTGCCTGTGTGTGACCTCAGGTACTGGATTTTGGAATCTCACCTCCAGTCTCCGAGGGATGGCAGCATCCTCGTGTTTCTTCAGCTCCTCAAAGGTGCGCAGCTCCAGGTGGGCCTGCTCGATCTGGTCCCACAGATCGTTCAGCTGCTTGATGAGCCCCATTGCTCGAGACTGGTAACCACCAAGAAGGATCTTCAGCTTCTTCTCCATCTTGGCAGCCCTCTTGGCTTCAGTGGTCATGTGGCCTCTGTTGATCTGCCAGAAGGAACCCAAGAGTTGCTTTAGTTACCCGGAATTCAGAAGTCAAGAGGGGAAAAAATAAGTAAAAATGTATCTGTGGAATGGTGTTGAGTTGATAAAGTTCTTTGATTTCTATTAAAATAATCATATTGCACATTTTACAACTATCTAGACTTCTGGATTAAAATCTTTGTAATAGACATAATACTGTAATCCAGACAAAATCCATAAACAGACAAGTGGCACAAATTACAAAATTCTGTCACCTGGGACACAACACCAATAACTCAACAGCTCTGTGTTAATATGTTATAAATGTTGTATAAAACATTTATAAATACCAAAGGTAACAGAAGTCTTGTGTATTTTTCCACCTGGGGTAAAATTATATGGGCACTAAAAGAATGAAATAGCTATCAGAATTTTTAAAGGCATCAAAGAAATCTTTAACACTGAATCCCAATCACAAATGGCCTAAAGATGAAGATTAAATTATATTAAATATTTGGAAGAAATTGTTGCCTGTGAGGGTGGGGAGGCTCTGGCACAGGTTGCCCAGAGAAGCTGTGGCTGCCCCATCCCTGAAAGTGTTCAAGTTTATGGTGGACAGGGCTTGGAGCAACCTGGGATATGGAAGGTGTCCCTGCCATGGCAGGCACTGGAATGAGATGATCTTCACAGTGTCTTCCAGCCCAGGCCATTCTGTGATCCTCTGAAACCAAGGAAGAACAAAGGCCTCCACCACTGAGCACAGCTGTGGAGAGGTGTGACAGCTCACATCTCTCAAGGGGGACATAAAGTTCCTTGTTGAGGCTTTTTTAATGATACCTCCTTAAAAAAATAACCCAACAAAACAAAATTTTTTTAGAAAGGACTGTGTGAAGAATGCCAAGCTCAAGAAAAAACTGAACTTCTCATATTTTGATTTTTGCCACACTTAATGATATATTAGTGCACAACATGAAATATGATATGAAGGTTTCTCAAGTATTAAAATATAAAGGCTAATTCAGAACCACAGTGTCTGAGTCACCAATCCTTGCCTCATTTCTTTAAAAATCAAAGCTTTGCTGGTGAATGTTCTCATATACAAAGAAATTACCAATCATCAACCAAAATGCAGCACCTTTTCACTGCTACAATTACTCAATATCTCATTTATTACCATTGAAACAGAACTCCTCTGGGGAGGAACTACTGAAGAGGGATCTGCCCTTCATAGTGATAACTACAGTCAGCCATCACAGTCTCACACACCAAGCTACTGCAAAGTGCATTTCATCAGCCCTCCAACTGCACTGAAGTACCCTCTGTTACACAGCTGCAGGTTTCTGTAACGTGCCCTCCTACTCCTTAACAATTTATTCACTCATTTAGAACAGTTTTAGCTGGTGGTGCAGAGATAAACAAAGTGAATGGTCAAGGGAGCAAACTGTTAATGGGTGAGTGAAAGAGAAATTTGACTTTCTGAGCTGTCTAGTTTGCTCCTGGGGAGAGCCATGCAGACTGCTATGCTTTTCAAACTCTGCTGGCAATGTAGACTTAAGCTATGCCCAAGGTGCTTTAAGCATACAGAAAGGCGCCTCTTTTTCAATATTTATATAAATCTAGAGAAAATTAAATAAATAGATTAGGGATTTGTGAGGATACTCTCTGATGGAAAAGTATGAAAGCTTTAAATGTCTTCATTGGTAAATAATATGCTATTACTGCAACAACAAATACAGCTGTGCGGTCAATGAACTATTTTCCAATTACTGTTTCTTGGATGAAAAACGTGTGCTGAGCACCACTGACATTTAGAGATCATGGAATAGATGGATGCACAGGCAAACAGAATTTTGTTTGTAACAGAGGCCTAATGTAAGAAAGATCAACTGTCCATGTTGCTCCCAGCATTACAGACAATGTAGAGTATGGCTGGTATGAAATGAAACTCCCATTGCAATGTTGCTCTTCAGAGAAGACTAAAAAAGACCATTTAGAGAAGTTCCACCCTTCTGTCATCCTGAGTGAAGATCTCATTCTTTACTGTGAGGGTGGTGAGGCCCTGGCACATGTTGCCCAGAGATGTGTCTGTCCCATTCCTGAAGGCCAGGCTGGATGGAGCTCTGGGCAACCTGGGCTGGTGGAAGATGTCCCTGCCCATGGCAGGGGGTTGGAAGGAGCTGAGCTTGAAGATCCCTTCAAGCCAAACTATTTTGTGATACCTTGATCGCTCAACAATCTGATTTTCTAACAAAATTTTAAACACTGAGTACCTGAGGGCATAAATAGAGTTATCAGCACTATCCCCACCATACAGAAAAGAGACTGGATCAGGGCACTGTGGTCACAAGCCCTGAATGATCCCCATGCTCCAAGTACCACCAGCAGTGGCAGTACTGGCCTGGTCTCACAATTTTACACTCTTCAGTTGGGATTCACTTTGCTTGGCTTTAGACATGAACATCTGGGTTTGTCACAGGCGCTCTTTCTGTCATCAGGAGAGAAACTGGCAACTCCAGAGCATGGCTCATCTGATCCAGGGCCTTGGGACAAGATTAAACAGCTCAGTGAAGGGCTCTTCACTGATGGTGATGGGAGCACACACTGTCTGTTCAGACCCTGTTATCCAAGACCAGGTAGATCAACCCCACCCCAAGTGTGTACTATCTGAAAGTGTTAGATATAACAAAGCATTTTAAAATTTACAGCTTCTAACAAAGCCAGTTCAAGTCTAATACTTATTACAGTATCAGACCCCAATTATTTAGGCACTCTTGAAATTTTCAGAGAATTTGACTTAATATTTCTGAGTTGGTCTGGATATTGGACTCTTAACTACTAGAGCTCCTTAGGTTATATGTTCCTATATTGCTTTCCTACTCAGTTCTTTGTCCCATCTTGGATTATCATAGGCCTCACTGCTGTGAAAAGACAAAAACAAGAAAAAGAAAAGAAAAAAGCCTCCCAGGTTTCTAAAACCAGAAATAACAGCCCTTTCTTCCTTCTCTGCTTAGGGAGAAATGTGAACACTCACCACCTTTTCCCCTCCCTCCCAACTACAAAATTTTAGGACCTACTATGAGAAGGTCAAAAGGAGGTCTCAGCTTTTGTAACAAATACTATTTATTAAAAATTGCTGACTGCTGCATTAGTGCCAACAACTGCATATAATTTGAGTTCAAGCTTCATAAAATTTTAAGGCTCAGATACCAAGCTAAAAATTCCAAGCAGTTATGAAGAGGTGTGTTTAAACAGTAGTCTACATTATTTGCTTAAAGCAAAGAAATAGATTTGAGTAAAATCTGACAACCATTTCCCCCTGAACCTAACAGAAAGAGTAAAGATATTTGAAAGATTTCTCCACTTATTTATTTTGTACTGTTCCTTGGCCAGCTTTGGTTCTGCTGACTTTTATACCAGCAACAGCAAAATGAGAACAGCATGTACAGACACGGGGTAAGATGATATATGGTGTTAAGGCAAGTGTGAGAGCCTCATCCCATCCCAAATCTCCAATGTAAAAGCTTCCCTCATGACTCGTAAAGTGGTGTTCAGTTTTCAGTACTGCACTAGAGAACCAAGGAAGAGAAACCAAAACAAGCAGCAGACAAAAGAGCCAAAAGAGCAACAGACATAACCAGAGGTTTATAAAACATGATCTAGAAAAGGGAGACTGACTGGAAAACCAGGGTTTGTTTGATTTGTTTTTCCTCTGCCAAACAAAAAAGGAGAAAAAGAAGACACAACACCCTGCTTTAAATATCCCAAAGTTAATTGTGAAAAATTCATCTGTTCTTACTGCTACTGAGAAAGGAAGAGGGACTTAAATTTGGGAAGGAAATTTTAGATGTTAGTTGTAAGGTTTAACTAAGGACAAGAAAGGACAGAGAAGGACTCCTTATGAGAACAAACATCCACTGGGAAAGATTTAAGAAAAACTGACCCTGAGGAAGGAAGAGCTCAATTGCTTTAAAAACTTCATTTTCAGAATTCTCATCTCACCAGGTCTACTGAGGACACCCCTCCTCAGTTCCAAGGGTTTTTTGCTGTACTGACTGGTTTGTTTTCCTTCCCTTTAATGTGGAGCTTCTGGTAATCCCTGAACAGCATTAAGCTCTCTTGTCTTTTAATTGATCTTCCTAATCACGCTGGATGGATTAAACAAACATGGAAGAAAAACTGCTACATGTTCAGAGCAGAGGCACAGTCAAAGTAAACCAACCTGTTCCGTGACCTTGGAGAATCAACATCATCACAAAGCTGCCTCGCTTGTGCACAGAAATCCCCTGCCAGCTTCAGCCACGCCGGCTGAGCAGAGCACTCCTGGAACATACATAGGACTACTCTAAATGTAACTGCAACTTCCTTCCTCACCTCAGACCCACACATGGCCCTCCCAAACTCAGTTCTGCTGGCAGGAGATGGAGTGACTTAATTGGAATGGCAGGTTTGTGAGCTTGGCTCATGCTGGCTCAGCTGCAGTGTCTGCAGTGAGAGTGCTCAGCTCGACAGCAACTTGTGCTCCAGGCCAGGCATTTCCAACCACTTCAGGGATAAGAACCCCACACTACAGAATCCTCTGGCCATGCTGGGGTAATCTGCCTTTACAAGCTTATGCTGCACTCAACAATAGCATACTTTAAAAAAAAAAGTCATTAATTTCTCTACTTCAAAATGCTTTTTCAGTTCCAAGCTCTTGGACAAAATTCTCCATTTTTGGCTTGAAACACTGGTTTATCTGTCTAGAATTTGACCAGGCAAAACTCTCTGTAGACCCCTGCCTGAGTTACCCCCAAGTTAGTAAAATATAAGTCAACTCTTGGAAACTGAGGCTTGGAGTTAGTATCAAACCAAAATTGCATGTCCAGTGTAGAACAATAAGGCCTCAATCTATTAAACATTAGCTAAGCTCATTGACCAAAACCACTTCATGGGCTTGACACAATTTCACATTTCTGCTGTGGCACTAAAGATCACAGAATCAGAGAATGGGTTGGGTTGGAAGGGACCTGAAAGATCAAATCATT